GAGCTTTATACATGCACACCTCAAAGTAAGTGTACTTTACTGCATTTATTTTTCGTTTGTATGTAATTTTCGGTGAGCTGGAACCAATTACCCCAAAACCCATTGAAACAATGGTTTCGGAACGAATTTTTCGGTTAACGAGCAACCTTCTGGAACGAATTGTGCTCGTTAACCGAGGGACCACTGTACTAAAATTTTTATCTCTTGTGCAAAATATATGACACTTATATTCAAATTATTCACTGTCTTGCAAGGATTCAAGCAATGCAAATTATATTCTCCAAACTTTAGTCTGTGATATTATATAAAATAAAAACTTAAAGCCTATTGTATAACCACCAAACCCTTGCTGGGAAGGAGGGAGGGGTGGGGGGAGGGGGTGGGAGATGGCAGGAGGAAGGGGGGGAGAGTGACATGTTTGACAGTTGGCATTGAAGGTATAGTGAAGTATTTATTTGTTTATTTATGTCCCTTAGATTGAGTTTTTGTTTTTTGCTTATAAAATGTAATAGAAGTGATCAGGGAGAATATAATTTACATTACTAGAACTCATATAAGATAAGTGATTAATTTGAATGTAAACATGCAATAGTTTGCACTAGACAAAAAGTTTAGTAATCATTTTGTACATTATTTTGATTACATGTACAGTCCAGCTTTTCCCTTAGGACAGTGTGTGCATGAAAATGAGTTTCAATAAATGAATAAAGTACATATATCGAGCCAAAAATAATAGTTGAAAAACTTTATGTAGACAGAGCTTGGATGGCTAAATTTTAGAATGACCAATAATTTTTATATAAAAATGCACAAATATTAAAGAGCACAATTTTCTTGATATTTACTCCACTGGAAACAAATGTAAACATAGAACAGATTACTGAATTGGCAGACTAGCCCATCAGCTGATCAGCTGATACTCACAACAAAACGTGTTGGTCGTAAGGATATCGTTCATCTAAGTTTTGTTCGTTAATCGAATTGAAGATCCTTATGGGAGGTAATTCGCTAACCGAACTGTTTGTTAACCGAGGAACCACTGTATTGATCTTTTTATTTAATTTTTGTATTTATTTATTGTCCTTTATTATTATTATATTTTTGCCCCCAGGCCCTCATGTGGGTCGTTGACCTGTGCCCTGGTGGGCTAATCGCCCCCCCCCCCCAAAAAAAAATCTTAGTCGCTTAGGGCGCAAACTAGCTAACCATGCACTCACATGCTCATTTCAGTGAAAGTGAAAGTGGTTCATTAATACACACTCACCACTTTTCTTACGACATATAACTTCAAATTTCATATCCATTCCATAGTTAGTGCACTTTGCTTCCCTTTAATCACTACACCACCTTGCTCCGGCTCCAAAAATAGTCCACCAATGTCACCATAGACAAAACGAAGTTGATAATTATAGCTCTTAGAGCACTTCAAAATAATGCCTGTGAACACAGGCGACTGGTACTGAGCATGCATAGCGCGGGTGTGAAGGATGTCCTTTAAGAGAATGGGAGGCGGGTGGGAATTTCAATTGCTCAAATACTTGTGCTCCCAAAGATTGACAGATTTCAGCCTTAGAATCCATTTAACTGTGAGGACTTTTTACGTGGTGGTCCATAATTATTTCACCACTTATAACGAGGACCCCCTGTAAAGCAAAACCTCTACACAGTATACCCTCGTTAATTAAGATTGATATAATTCGGATTTTGGCTTAATTTTTATTTATATTTTTTATTTATGTTTTTAGGTGAATTGAAAGATTTGAATTCTGACTGAAATTGAAATAACGGAGTGGTTCCAAAAAATCGATTATTATTATAGTAATATATTATGAATTAAATTAAGATGAATGAATTTTACGAATAGAATATGAATTATATTAAGATACTAAACAAAACTACGTTTGGGTGCGTAGCCCGGGCGAGAGGAGGAGGTGGCGGGTGGCCCTCATAACACTAAGCCAGCTAAAATTAAAACAGAGGAGATGGTGCTATTAAAACTCTAGGAATGTATAATCAAACACCCCTTACAAGACCTGGGAATTAAACAATTCCTAACTCTTTTAATGTAGAGATCTGGGGTTAACCTGAAATCTCCACAAATGATTACCCTCCACAATACAGCATACAATATCAACCTTAATGATACAGTCCTGACAAACAAAGGAGTGAACAATGTCTCTCCTGTGAGAATTATGTACAGTAAAACAGGCTGGATAAGTAGGCTACATTCCAGCACCCTCATGCATATACAGTACCTGTACATTATATTAATCATGAAAGCTAAACTTGAAAATGGTAAATCTGTGCAAGGTCTGGGAATTAAGGTACACACAGTTATACAGTGGTCCCTCGGTTAACGAACGCCTCGGTTAACGAAATTTCGGTTTACGAATTACCTTCTATAAGAATCTTCATTTCAGTTAACAAAAAAAAATTCAGTTAACGAGATTCTTACGAAATCGTGTCAACATGTTTTCGCTTGCTCACCAGCTGGAATATTAGTCCGCCAATACAGTAATCGGGTCTAGGGCTTAAATTCGTTCCCATTTGAGTAAATATCAAGAAGGTTGTTCTATTCAATAATTTTCCAAGTTTTAGATAATTTTTTTTAGTCATTTTAACAATTATTTAACATAATTGGAGTACAGGAAACTAGTTTTTGGTGCGCCCAACAGCCACATGATTCACCAACAAAGGTGTCAGTTTGTATCTCTGGTCAGTGGAGGTAACATCTTGCTTGTGGCTCTCTTGAACATAAACTATTTTTACGTTTTTACAGTACAATTATTGGTCATTCTGAAATTTATTTAACATATTGAAAATATATAGCGCAGTGCAGTGTTGATTTAAAGAAAATAATCTTTATTTACAGAAATTAAACTTGAAATTTTAGTGTTGAAATTTAATCCAGCATGGGTCCAAAGAAATCTAGAAAGGCAATTTCAATCCAGGTAAAACAGGAAATAATAAAGAAACATGAACAGGGCATTAGAACAAATGTGCTTAGTAAAGACTATGGCATGTCGGCATCAACTGTGTCGACAATTCTTGCACAGAAAGACAAGTTCAAGGAAGCGAAAGTGAGAGACAAATCTACCAGAGTGTTTAAAGGTAGATCCTTAATTGCAGAAACAGAGGTTACTTCTCATTTTGATTAAGGAAAAACAAATGAAAGGGGATTCAATTTCGACAGAATTTATTTGTGAAAGAGCCAGGGAAATTTACGAACATTTGAAGGAAGAGCAACCTGGTTCTTCTGGCACAGAGTTTGAAGAGTTTAGGGCCAGCAAGGGCTGGTTTGAAAAATTTAAGAAAAGATCTGACATTTTCAGTGTTATTTATTAGGCATGGTGAGGCTGCCGGTTAAGATAAAGAAGGAGCATCAAAATTTGTAGTGGACTTTATAGAACTGATGGAGGAAGAAAATTATCTTCCACAGCAAGTGTTCAATGTGGACGAAACTGGGCTGTTCTGGAAGAAAATGCCCAAAAGGACATTCATCACCAGAGATGAAGCCTCTTTACCTGGGCATAAACCCATGAAAGACCGTCTCACTCTATTGCTTGGTGCCAATGCTTCAGGGGATTTCCGACTGAAGCCTATGCTTGTCTACCACTCTGAGAACCCCAGGGTGTTCAAGCAACAAAAAGTGGTAAGAGGACGGCTTGGAGTTTATTGGAAGTCCAACCGTAAGGCATGGGTGACCAGACAGCTCTTTAATAAATGGGCTGTTGAGGTGTTTTGCCCTTCTGTGAAGAGCTACCTAACCACCAATAAACTCCCTTTAAAGGCTCTTCTCCTTATGGATAATGCCACTGGTCATGACCCTGAACTTGCCAGCACTCTGGAGGCTCGATTTGACTCTGTCAGAGTGTTGTTTTTGCCTCCCAACACTACATCAATTATACAGCCAATGGACCAGAATGTGATCAGCAACTTCAAGAAGTTGTACATGAAGAAAATGTTCAGGATGTGTCATCAGGCAACTTCCACTGATCCTGAACTAACACTGGCACAGTTCTGCAAGACACAATTCAACATCCTGGAGGCTGTAAAATTGATTGTGTCATCATGGCGAGAAGTCTCCATTAGATCCCTCAATTCTGCATGGAAAGCACTGTGGCCATCAGCAGTCCATAATTTTGAGGGATTTGAGGAAGAAGCGGAGTTGGACCAGGAGATTGTGTTCATTGGTCAGTCATTGGGCCTTGAAGTGGAGGAGGATGATGTGGAAGAGCTTGTAATGTCTCATGAGCAGGAACCTGCTCCTGAAGACTTAAAGCAACTGGATGAGATGATAGAAGCTGACAGTGGTGAGGAGGAAAGGGAAAGTGATGACCATATGTCTTCTTCAGATTTGAAGGATGTTGTTCGCTACTGGGAGAAGTTGAGGAAACTAGCTTCAAGGCACCAAGATGTGGAAACAACAGAACCTGTTTTGTGTAATGTTGAGGACACAGTGGTCTCCTTCTTCAAAAATCAGTTAATGATGAGGAGAAATGCCCCACAAAAAAAAAATTCGACAGTTTCTTCTTTAAGAGGCAGCGGGAGAAAGACGCTACCCCTCAGCCTTCCACTTCAAAAAGGAGAAAGGATTTTCCTGCTGGAGAATCTGTCAGTCCAAAGGTTCCTGACATTTTCATGGAAGGTGACTCGCCTTCCAAGAAGCAGTAAAATGCTTCTCCTCCACCCCCACTTCCTTCTCTTCTCCCTTCTCCTCCTCCACCTCCCACTTCAAATTCACATCAGCATCATCAACCAGGAGCCTTCTACATACACACCTCAAAGTATGCGTACTTTACTGCATTATTTTTTACTTTATGTAACTTTTGGTGAGCTGGAACCAATTACCCAAAATTCCATTGAAACAATGGTTTCAGTTAACAAAATTTTCGGTTAACAAACAACCTTCTGGAACGAATTGTGTTCGTTAACCGAGGGACCACTGTATATAATTCAGATAAAATAAAAAAACTTATGTCACTAACTATGGTTCTTACCTTCAGAGGGGTCTTTTGTATTGACAAATTTGTTCTCATACAGCAAGCCCATGAACTGTTTCCGCATGTTTCTGAAACACAAGATCAGTATTTAAAAATATAAATTACATCAACCTCTTCACAATACTCTTTGAACTTCAATGATTCTATTCAATAAATGGTAATGTCACAAGGCAGGGGCAGACCCAGGAATATCAAAAGGAGGGGGTCCAAGAAGTTGTGGGTGAGAGAACATGGCGAGCACAGCGAGCCTACCCAGCTGAAGGGCGTTTGGGGGAGGGGGGGGGGGGCACTGTAAGCCCAACAGCAGAATTTTTTAAATGTGACCAACATCATGGACATTTTGAGGACATTTTGATGTCATGTGCATTTGATATTAGGAGATATTTTGAACTCAATAATAATTACTTTTTACTATTAAAAAACGCCCGAGTACAATACTGTATCTCAGGTAACAAAAGTTTCTGACAAGGCAGTGAAGTCATGGAACACATCCATTTCATTAACAGAGGCACAGTACAACTGCATTTACTGTACATTCATTTAACACTGGGTCCCCATTACAGTTGAGTCTGGAATTACGCGGTTTTGGTTTACGCGTTTCGTCATTAACGCGGTGCCTTGCCAGAATTGAAATGCTTGATTTACGCGGGAAGCGGAGCGGGCAGGGTGCGCACAAGGTCGCCCAGTCATCAAAACATTACCGAGTTCTTCACCCGCCACCCACCACAGCCGGCCCAAGTCAGTGATAGTGAGGATATGGACTTGTATGGACTTTGAGGGGTTTGACAAAGAGGCCCTGCAAGCCTCTGTGGTGGATAGTGATACAATTGATACAAGTGATACAGGTGAGGGCCAATAATCTGCCCTCTGCCTCGGAACCAACCCCCCATCCCAGTGAGCCCAGCCATCTTTTCTACTAATGTACTGTAAGTGTTAAAAAACCTAATATTATTGATATTTCTCTTAATTATTAATTGTGTGTGCATACCATCATAAAATTATGATGTTATTTTGACTACAAGGTACGTATTGTGTCGGAAAAAGTGGAGTTTGGGGGGTCGGCCCAATCTCTATTTCAATTAATCCCATGTTCTGTTATTTCATTTACGCGTTTCTCGTTTTACGCGGTAAATGAAGACCCAACTGTATTTGTCTCCCTTTTATTCATCATGTCACATATTTTTCACTGATGATGTAGTGGAAACATTCACATATCTCACTGCTGTGTCCTGGGTTCAAGTTCTGGGGCAGCATACCCAAAAGCATTTACGGGATTGTATCTCTTTGTTTACCTCGTAACTGGACTTACAGTCTCCGATCAGTATACTCAAAACAAATATTTGGAAGTGGACTCCGTAAGCAAGTACGTAACTTACAGAACCTCCTTAGCTGCCACGACACACTCAACCCGGATATAGTAAGTCGCTATTTCCCCGATAGCATAACAAAAATAATAGTACTATATGTTGTAATAATGCTTGTTAGACTTGTTTTATCAGAGAATAATGAAGAAAATGTTTTGTAAATCAACGTACGAAAATACAATATTGCAGTTTATCTTTTTAGTTCATTTTTTTATAAGAAGTGGCTTGAGTGTTTCTATTTGTCGCGGAATGGAAGACGCAGCTTTCGTCTTCTTACAACTTTTCAAGTGGCATAGTCGTAGATATCCGTCAGTATTGAAAGCCAAATATGAGGTCTTTTTGCCGAGACTCCGCCTTTGCTAGGACCAAGTTATGACAAGCTATTCTGCTAAGTATCCAAGAAGTACCCATGACTCATAGTTAAATAATACCTAACCCATTCAAACCTAATAAAAAAGAGGGGTAAAAATTAACAGTGGTATAGCATTTTCTTCTTAGAAAAGAATCATGTTCATAGATTTTTTATCCGATACAGTGTCGTGATTTTTCCACTGCAAAATTAGTGAAATGTACATTGCCCTAACAAAACCCAGCCTTACCATACCATACCATACCATACCATACCATACCATACCATACCTAACCTAACCTAAGAGAGCTGCAATGCACATGACAAACAATAAGGTTCTCTAGAAGAATTTCAAATTCTATTTAAAAAAATACATTTGCAGAGATAACAAACTTTTTATAATCATTTCTCCAACATCTATAATAAATCTGTTGATATATAAACGAAACTTAGGATGCTACTATTATGCAACTTAACCTTTATGCATTTTAAATTTAGGTTAGGTTAGGTAAGGCATGTTTAGGTTAGGTTAGGTAAGGCATGTTAAGGTTAGGTTAAGTTAGGTAAAGGTTGTTAATATATAGGACTGACCCGCAAACGAGTTATTTGTATTACTGTTTATTTTCTAACTTTATTTTCATGAGTGAGTTCTGATATGGTAATCATTTCTTGTGCAAATGTCTCGTTTTGTAGATAATTAGGTGTCTAGGAGCGCACTAATTTGTCTTCCCAATGGTAATGAGGCCACGCTCTGCCACTGCGCTTTTTCCTGGGCTCGCGGCAATTTCATTTTCAGCATGACGTGTGAAGGTTGTTGCTGGTCTTATATGGACGTAATTTGCAATTTTAGGGATAAATATGAGACCCTTCAATTGTTTAAAGACCACAGCATTGTTCTTTTAAATAGAGACTGTGCAGACTGCAGGAATCCCCGTGCTTTCAGACTGGAAAGAAATTTGTTCATCACTTCTTTAACACTCGATGTTTCCCACCATCACAATAAATCACTCCGCCGCCCGGGCTGCATAAACGCCGATGTGGTCGTATCATCACACGTCCAGAAAATGCCTCAAATTTCACCACATCCTGGTAGGTTCTTTGTTTAATATACCGGGAAGGAGGGCAGACCCCCAGGTAATGAAGTTAGGTAAGGTCAGGTAAGTTTGTTTGGTTAGGTCTGTTTTTCATACCAACAAATGTTAAGTTACGTTTAGTTTAGAAATATCCATTTTTTTCACACATTTGCATAAACTACAACAGTGTCCACTATAAAAAAACCCCTGAAAATTCGGCGTTTATATGATCGTTTTCGATCAATTTCGGCCGTGGGTTATTCCTGAATAATTACTGGTTAGGTAAAGGTCAGGTTAGGTTAGATAAAGATTAACTTAAGTAATGTTAGGTTAGGCTTGGCTTGGCTTGGTTAAGGTTAGGTACATTTCACTAATTTTGCAGCAAAAAAGACCATGACTTCTGATTGTATTAAATCAAAAACGTATGGAAAAAAATAACGTCTGATCGCATATACGTCCATGCCCCCCCCCCACCCCCAAAAAAACACTTTAGTGACGCCTGCTGGACCACCACTCCATGACCCACTGACGGAGAAACGATGATCCTTCCCATACTGGCGAGATATTATGTGTTAAAGGAATATCCTTCCTTGGGCTTTAGTAAGCATTTGCCTCCAGGTGTAATGTTAACCTACAGTCTGCGCGGAATGTTAAGTCGCGATAGGGCCGACGAACTAAGTTCTCGCAAAAATAAGATCATATGTTGTGAAGCCTGTCCTGGGATGCGAGATGTCAAAATGCTTGGTTTGTTGGCAAGTGCTGACATTTGGCAACTGAGAACACGTCACGGCTTATAGTCAGTGCGCCTCTGACAGCTGTGAGGGGAATATTTATTGTGCGGGTTCCCGTGCCATGTGGCCATGTTTTGTCTAGTTTAAGGTGCATTAACCCGACATAGTGGCCATCAGAGATGTCCAGGAGGGTTACTACAAGAGACGATATTGCAGTAGTGATTGCATTGTACAAAGCGAACCATGTACTGAGGGAAATATCGGCTCAGACTGGTGTGGCATTACGAGTTGTTCAAAATCTTGTCAAACGTTTCCGTGACCTTGGAGAGGACGAGTTACCAGCTCCATTATCTAAGTCTGGTAGGCCTAAATAATTGTCTCCACGGACACTTAAGGTTATTTCTCGACAAGTTCGGTCCAATCCCTCACTCACAGCACGTGAAGTGAAAGAGAGAAACCCCCATCTTTTGAGTCACGTCTCGTTACGTTGTGTTCAACAAGCCCTGCACGATGACCTGGGATTTAAGAGCTTTCGTGCCCGCCGTAAACCTCTGTTGACAAAGAGACAGAAGGAAAATAGAGTGAAATTTTGCAAGAAATATGAAGTGTGGGATTTCGAGACATGGAGGAGTGTATTATGGTCGGATGAGGCTACGTTTTCTGTGACTGGGAGTAATGGAGGGAGGGTGTACCGCCCCCCCCACTCAGACGCACACCTCCCACAGTACACTGTAAAGACTGTTAAGCACCCTGCCTCGCTTATGGTTTGGGCTTCCTTTACGTATTATGGTGTTGGTGAACTAGTAATCCTCCCTAAGAACCAGATGATGAATCAGTACAACTATCTTGAACTGCTCAGTGATTTCTTACCTGAATCATTTGATAAAGCTAAGGCAAGCCTTTTCATGAAGGACGGTGCCCCATGCCACACCGCTAAAAGTGTCATACAGTGGCTCAAAGACTGTGAGGTACCTTTCTTTAATGACTGGCCTGGCAGTAGCCCAGATCTTAACCCAATAGAAAATTTGTGGTCCATTGTTAAGTGTCGTCTGCGCGACACATCATCAATCCCGAAGCTAGAGGCAGCCATCAAGGATACCTGGGCTAACTTGCCACCTGACCTCTTGCAAAACCTTGCTGACAGTGTTCCTCGAAGGCTAAAAGACTGTCTGAAGCGCAGAGGAAATACTACAAAGTATTAATTGAAGTGGTAAGTGTTACTTGACTTTATTTATATAACATAATCGCAAATATCAATATTTTTTCAGCACACGATCTAACATTCCGAGCAGACTGTACATCTATTGAGGATAAAATCTTTCACTTACAAATTGACAAATACACATTTGCTGTAATCAGACAAATCTAGTTGCCTCAACAATTGCAACCCCAGTTGCAATTGGGGTTGCAATTTCAAATTGTGTGTCATTACTAAGAAATAACGAAGTCTCTGGTGCACTAGAAGATTAAGAGAGAAAACGGAGGACTCAGGCGTCCTGAATTGAGAGAAAACGGACTCCTATGATGGGGGACACAAGCACTCACACGTGC